GCACCTCTTGGGGAGCAGGTGCCCACGTGCTGCTTACTATTGCCCTGACGCTTGTGTATTCTGTCGCGGAGTATTGTTCCACTGTTTGGTGCCACAGCTGCCACAGGAGCAATTTAGACACGCAGCTCAATGAAGCGATACGAATAGTAGCAGGAACTCTGATGCCAACCCAAACATAATGGTTGCCGATTCTGGCCCATATTGAACCTCCTCACTTCTGGAAGACCGAGCAGGCGTATTACATTTTCCAGAAGATTAATAGGAATCGCCAGTTAGCCATCCATCGTGTTCTCCAACAGCCACCAACACGACGCCTGAAATTACGCCACCCACCAGGGGAACGAACAACGACACCGCGTCTGAGTCTCGAGGAACGGTGGCGAGTGGAGTGGAATGCTACAGCTGTCCATGACAAAGATCTGATCTCCAACCCGACCACAGAACTCCCTGGCTTGGATCTGAATCGCCAAGAATGGTCGAGATTAAACAGCACTCGAACAGGACAAGGACGCCATGGACATTTGCTCCATCGCTGGAGAATGAAACCCAGCCTGCCTGCGGTCATGAACATCACAGCATGCAGTACATTATTTCCGAATGCCCTCTGCGGAAGTTAGACGGTAACGTAACCGATGTCCATAACGCTGCCTCGTCGGCCATTCACGGGCCTAGAAATATTGACATTGAACTATAAAGCTGCTAGTCATCTCCTCCAAAGGAAGAAGCGTATCACAAAAGACTTTAGCAGTGTGCAGTCACAGGGAAAATACCAGCAATTATCTGCGTAATTCTACTCATTGAATAGCAATAAAACTAACTAAGCAAATGAGGGTACGTGTAACAATGAAGAAAAATAAAAAAATATTTAAATAGCTAGGAAAAGAACCGGTAGATTGATCGAAACACTGTTGCTCAGCAGCAGATAAATGTTTGAAATTTTACATTCAGAAATAAAACCTAAGAAGGAATGGTCAGGAGGAATCTTGTGAGCACCCTACAGGATATTCAGTTTAGTGTTCAGCGGATCTCAGGTCTTTTAGCGGATGTTATTTTTATTCCATCTAGAAAGGAAAGGATATTGGTTTTTACATTTTGAATGCGGTGCCAGGCATCATGTGTGTATTTGTAGCATTACTTGTGAACTTTGCGCTCATGTTTGTTATTCCAGTGAAACTTAGAGTCTTAGTTTTAACTTAGCTATCAAAACTAGCAGTATGCTAGTAAACATAAGATCGGGTTTAATTTTTCTGTACATATATGCCCAGGATCGTGGCATATTTGCTGGTGTCCGAACAGGCCCTTGTTCAGTCCTGCGTAGTGACGCGAATTTGCCTCCAGGCACCGCAGGTACTCAAATATCATGGGACCATGGTCTGTTTAAGTGTTCCCCTAGGCCGCTACAAGTAAGGGGCCGTTGCTTACGCCGCTTCAATCCGGTATCAGAAATTAAAAAAGGTCTTGTTTTAGTTCTTCCACTTCTGCATCCTTCACTGATAAGGGTCGGCTGTACCAGCGTAAGTGTTCCCGTTTACGAATGGAAAATATTGGAAGGGATTCACTGTCTGTTTCTATAAACTACATTCCGTGAAGTGACTCTTCTGTTGCTCTGAGCCTCCTTTGTAGATTTTCCTCTTCTCGGCAACTTTTGACAGGAAGTGAGCCGGTTTGTGATTTAACATCAGTCATGAACCTAGCTTAACGTTTATTGTAGTTTCTCCGGTCAAATCAGGAACGTGGCGGGGAGGGATTAAAGAAGGGAGGAGATTTATACCAAGTAATTGATGCTGTTCTAGAGGTTGCGTTGTGTCTATCCACTTAGTTATTTTTGAAGAAACATATACTTAATTTAGACCCTTAGCATCTTTCATTAGGACGGGCCGAGTCACTTGCTTATAATGGATTATCGTCGAATGCCTTTGATAACTATTCGCCAGCCATGGTTTCTGCCTGCGATATCGATCTTTCTGATTTCTCCTCCTTGGAATGCTGCTTCTGCCGCCTATAGCTCTGGTTGACTGCATGGATGAGCAGGAGAAGCGCATGTATTGTGATTGCGGATGATCCTCTCTATAATTAACTATTCCCCTCCAGACTGCTACTTCGTGTTTTACCGTAGAAATGACGCGAGCTTTGGTCTTCCATTTCCTAATTGGTCACTCAGAGTAGCATTAAATTGACTCTACTTTTTTGGGAGGCTAGTCACACCGCTTTGCCATAGTTTAGTCTGTCAACATTAAGCGGCTGATTTGCTTCAGCCAGATTGCGGCAATGCGACACGGCTACTGTCAGACGAAGTTCTGCTACGACCATATGGTGATCTGAACCGATTCAGGTACCACGCTTGACGCGAGTCTAGAGTAACGAGCGAGCTGCGCCATTTGCGACTGATGAGGTCTTGCATCAGATGAGTATTTAGGCATCCAACGTTTAGGACGTTCAGATGATTTGGTGAATTCGCTTACCAGGAAAATCGTCCTGCAGACTTTGTTGTCTGTCGTGCAAACTTAAGACGTCTGTCATTGTCATTCGCTCTCTCATGATCGTACAGGCTGAATAAGTCTGACCTCATGCTGTACTTGGCATTTACCATCGCCTTGCTGTCTCATGTGACACTTGTGACGGCGTTCAAAGACAAAGCGCTTACACCTGATTGCTAGCCGTCATAGGAAGCGTCGTTGTCTCTTTCATTGGATGCGTTTGTAGGAACATGGACCACAGTGACAGTCAGCTTTGTCTGTTTGATATTTATGCTTCAAATCAGTATCTTCCGCGACAGCAGTTCCATAGAAATAATCACATGATTTACTCGTTGGTGACAGAATTATATCGACATCGGCATGACACAATCTGCTGTGGCACGACCTCCACACGTCTTGGATGTCGAGCGCTCTATCTTCGGTAGAGAAACTTTTACCTCGCCCACTTTCTACCATTGATTCGTGGCTGTTTCCGTGTTCGTGACTGCTACTTGGTAGCCTCACGTCCGAATTTTTTAGTGGATTACTCTAATGACACATGATTCTCCCAATGACGTGATTAATAACTGCGAAATGGTTTGCATAATGCTGAATATAATGTCAGAATCGACAATGACGGTTCTATCGCTTATTGTAGATTTTGAAAGGCAGCTGTTGGTCATGCCACAGGTTGTTCATTGATGAGAGTGAAATTGAGGCGAAGATATTTTTCGCCGAATTGAATGCCCTTGACTGCGGTTCGCTGACAGTGGCGGAAAGCTTGAGAGAAGTGAAACGTTCGAAGGTAAGCATTTGATTGATTTGGTTCTTTGAATGTTTTATTGTCAAAATTTTTAATGGCACAGATTAATGTCGACGTAGCGGATTCCACCATTCAGACGGACGAATCAATGTTTGATGTCAGCGACGGTTGTTCGATGGACCAGAAAATAGCTCGACTTGTAGCTGAAGCTGAAGGTTCACAGTAAAAATGAACTGAGGTCGAATGATTTGTATTTTTCTTCAGGCGTTTCGTCCAATGGCGATTACCATTCATGCAACAAAAACTTGCTGAAAATTCGGAAACAGATTTCTAACGAGTTCTGCAAAAATGTGCTTTTCAAGAGACCACGCAGATGTCCGCAGTGCAGCGTTTTTGTTCCAAATTTGAGGCACGAGTACAAGCGATCGATTATGGCAAAGTTCCCTGAAGACAAGTCAAAGAAATCTACAAGGTAAAATTTTTATAACCAGTATTAGGGTTTTATTTCTTTCTGCGTTATGCTTTAAACGTTATTCAGGTGGTGGTTTTTTTCTCTGTTTGTTACCATGAATTATCCTAGATATTTATTTATCTCCGTAGTTACCTGTCAACCTCATTGGCAGCAAGGCGATTTTTCGACCTCATGCTTAGCGTCATGGCCAGTATGTTCGTCATCTACTCCTTATGAGTTTATATGAAACTGTTTATGAGCTTGTCGTCTTCGTAATTAAGACTAATTTTCATCATTCTCAAAGATCTGCGTCGCACATGATCGTCGCAACCATCACCATAGTATTCATTTTTTTCATGATGAATCATGATTTTCATCGTCAGCATCATACACAGTCAGAATCAGAGTACTACCATAACCGTCACTGTAAAGTTTTCAGACTATTAGCATGCATATTATTTTAGTATGCATACTGTCGAGGCGATGGCGATTTCAGCCTAACACTGTTCCTGCCATTTGCAGTCGCATATGACCTTATTTTGTTGATTCTATATGTACTGTGCTGGCAGCGTCACTTGCCAAACTATTTGTGTATTCATTGGTACACAGAATGATTTTTTTCATGACTGTTATATTTGCTTTATTGTTTGTCACTAATGATTTTGAGATGAAGGAATTTAATTTATTTTTTCATGTTTATTCATGCATAATCCAATTTACCTGTTAAACTTCATTCTTACCTTTACTTGTTTGCTTCTAAACTTCACTACTTCTTTCGAGTGGCAGAGGAGGCTTCCTCAGAAAACAGTTTCTTTCCAATTATTTCTGCCTGCCGCCAAACTTAAAGGTTCATGGGTTTGATATCCGAGGCGCGATAATGCCTCTTTTTAATCGATCGTCTTGTATTATGGAAATTTTTCTCATCTAAAAGACTGTAGAATGTTTAACAGATTTAGCTGCGTTTGTTGGGTTGTTGTCATCGAAGAGGTTTTTAATCAAATCAGGTTGGAGACAGTTGAATGCAAATTTCCAGTATTTTTACCCATAGTCTGTGTCTAAAGGCGATCATTTCGTTGAAAGTGTATTTACTTGCAGCCACCAAGTGCAACTTCTCAGCGACTGTTCAGATGACTGACTTATGTTAACTAATGATGGGTGCAGTGATGACCTTGTTCTTTTGTAAAAACGAAAGGAAGGTAAGTTTGTAATCGTTTGAATTTCGTTTTTCCTTACACTTATATAATGATACCAGTTCTGACACCCTTGTTTTCATGTATGTGTGTGAGCGCTGATCTTTATTTCCATGTCATCAGTCAGGAGTGCCTTTTTTAAGGCTTCTATGCGACAAGCATAGTCGGTATTCTCCTGTTTTCTTCTCACCACTTGTCACAGTGGTATTCATTTATCAATTTCGAAAGAAAGAAAGGCGAATAGAATTGGCAGGAGCGAACTCGAATCCGGGATCTCTCGTTTTTTAGCCCGAGGCTCTATCGATCTGAAGCAATGTATGATGAATCACTTGCTCAGAGGAATTCGTTGTAAAAGTAAACGTTGCCTGCCACGGGAATCGCATTCATCATCTATGAAGTTTGGAAGTCGACTTCTTACGCACTAGTCGATCACGCCACTTTGCTTTGGTACCAAACTGCTGTACGAGACTCGTATTCAAACTAGGATCAGAAGCTTTCCCCTGACTCAGGAGACCAGCATGTGCTCCATGGAACTCTATGAACGACTGTAGTTTTATTCCAGATGTTTGAGATGCGGACGTATACGATTATACGTTTATTTGTGGTGAAATATGCAAGAATATATTATTGATGAAATGATCTCAAAAACAGGTTTTTTTATTTGTTGTTCCCGTGCCAAACTGCTCGCTGGGAGTCGATCTTATATGCCTGCCTAAGATTGAGTATTCGTTCGTAGCAAAACGAAAAACAGCGTAAAATCGGTACCTATATATTTAGCGCAATCAGATTTGGTAAATCCATGATTGATTGAGCAGTACCTACGTTTCGCCCATGTCTGACGGACTTTCTTCGAGATAAAAGGATTGCCGTATTTTATGCTGTCTCAGCAGTTAAATTTTAATATTTGTATTAAGCGTGTTATTTGCTCCTTTTATTCTGAAAAATGTTTTTGAAAAGCGCTTTGTAGCGATAATGCCATTGGCAGATTTTCAGTTCAACTCCACGTCTATAGTGTAGAAATCTTTAGTCTTTTCCTGCTTGCTTCATATGCTGGAATAAGAAACATGGACAAGCCTTATTCAAATAGCTATTCTTTTTAAATCTCTAATTCTTAATGCTTGTCCTTCTCTATTTGTTGTGTTTTCCAGGCAGACGACGAAGATTAAGGATAAAGCCGCGATGATCGATCTTCAGTTTGAGGTCACATCTCCTGATACTTCCGCTACATTCATTGACACGCCAAAAGAACTAGAGGTGACTGAATCGATTGGCGGATACCAATTTCTGGCTCCTTCCCAAGTGATGGAGCACTTCCGTCAAGTCTGGTTGAATGGCGGTCAAAAGATGTTAACTGCAGTTTTTCCTTTTTTGAATGCTAGCGAAATGACCGCCAACAATTCGACGCCAACAGATTTGCTGTTTTGTACCAACATTTTGGTATCCCCTTCTAAATTTCGTCCGGTACGTCTTAAATCATGTTTTGATTCAGAGTTTACTTATTATTTATGAAGTACGTTTATTCTTCGTACTGCACGAAAAATACCTATTATCTATCACGAATAGCTGAATTTTTTGTGACCGACCTCCAGAACATATTACGGAATTGTCAGCGACAAATTTAATTGTTAGAAATAATAAAGGAGTGAGTGTCCGAGTGAGAAATTTAATTATATATAATTAGGCACTGATAAGTAATTAGTAGTGAGCGTTA